GAAAAAGATGAGGAATTTGGCGGTGTGGTATCCGTGTCTTTTTTAAGGGCACGGCCCCCTATGGGAGGCTACCCAAGCGACACAAACGAGTAACACAGAAAGCTAAGCCAGTGGCAGTGGGCCGCGAGCGATCTGCACTAGAAGGGATATCGGAAGAAGATATCGCAAAAGAAATCAAAGGAAGGAAGAAAAAGGAGCCGCAACGCCTAACGGAAGAAAGAATAGCAGGGATGGACATCGGAGATGGAAACCTGACCCCACAGGAGCGAGGGCGTGCGATAGAAATTTTGAAGACATGTGATAAGGCAATAGCTTTCAGCGACGCGGAGCGCGGTAGGATTGACCCACGATACGCTAAGCCAGCAAGGATTTACACGATACCACATGTTCCCTGGAACGACGCAGGATGGAAATACGCCCAGAAGGAGAAGGAAGAAGTTATCGCCTTCCTGAAAGAAAAGATGGTTTCCCACGTTGCGGAGCCGTCTGATAGCGCTTATGCAAATCGATGGTTCTTCCTACGAAAGCCGAATGGCAAGATCCGATGGATCCAGGACCTTCAGAAGGTCAACGCGGTGATGATACGAGACGTGGGCTCCGTGCCACACGCCGATTTACTGGCAGAAGGCGCAGCAGGTAGGTCGATCTATTCGGTCTGTGATCTGTTCTCAGGCTATGATGAGGTACCGCTTGACCCTAGGGACAGACACCTCACGGCTATGCATACGCCATTGGGACTRATKCAAATGATGGTTGTCCCTATGGGTTGGACTAATGGGGTAGCCGTTTTTCARARAGCCATGGTAGCCGTCCTCAAGGACTTCATCCCTGATAAGGTTGAAGTTTTTCTGATAAGGTTGAAGTTTTTCTGGATGACTTTCCTATAAAAGGGCCAATAGACAGAGATGAGACAGAGATTATACCTGGAGTTAGGAGATTCGTCGAGCAGCACCTAACAGACATTTGCGCGGTACTCGAGCAGCTGGACGATGCGAATTTGACAGTCAGCGGAACCAAGAGCCGATGGGCCGTYTCGACTATTAAGATCTTGGGCTTTATATGTGACTCGAGAGGACGCCGAGCAGACCCGGCGAAGTTAGACAAACTCATGAACTGGCCGTCACCGTTACATAGCCCAACCGAGGTCCGGCAGTTTCTGGGAGTGGTCGGTTACTGGCGTATATTCATACGGAGGTATGCGGAGAAGGCTGAACCATTGAGGTTACTCCTTCGAAAGACTGAGAAATTATGCTGGGGTTCTTCGCAGGAACTCGCAATGCAAGAACTTAAAGACGAATTTAAGGAGGGAGGACGCGTGTTGGGCGTGCCATTCTTTGACGATGAGACCGAGAGACCCTTCATAGTATCCACGGATGCTGGACCATGCTCAGTGGGTGGTTTGCTGTCTCAGAAGGACGCTGGAGGGAAGGAAAGACCGTTAAGATTTGAGAGTAGGACACTTAATACGGCTGCGCGTAACTACAGTCAATTCAAGAAGGAAGTGTTAGCTGTTCTCCGGTGTCTAGACACGTTCAGACACTATATCTATGGACGACGGTTCATCTTGAGAGTAGACCCCACCGCGGTTGCYTCTGYCCTCCAGAAGGACTTTAGTCTGACGGACCCGACCATCGCCCGATGGTTAATACGAATTCGGCTATACGATTACACGGTCGAGAGAGTATCTGGCACTAAAAATGCCGTGGCAGATGGACTTTCACGCATCCCTCTCGAGCGTCCGATTGTAGCTGGGGCTCTGACAATGGCAGAGCCGAGACGCGCCGAGAGATTCCTAGTTAATCTTTACGAGGGCAAGTACCGAATGATCGGACTACACCTGACGGGAGAGGAGAGTCAAGATTCAGAAATCCGGAGGCAAGCAGCCCAGTACTGCCTTAGAGCGGGCCACCTTTTCCGAAGGCCAGTAGGGTCGGGAATGCCCTTACGAGTAGTTTGTGATCCTGAGGAGAGGCAGACGATAGTTGCGGAACTTTACGACGGGGTAGTCGGAGGACACAGGGGAGTTAAAGGAATCTACGAAAAGATACGCCAGCTGTACTGGTGGGAAGGGCAGTATAAGGACGTCGAGAGGTACTGCATGACATGCGAAGAGTGTGAGAAGAGAGCTCTTGTGAAATACAAAGAGCCACTTCACCCATCCTACCCGACCAGGCCAGGAGAGAAGGTACACATTGATCTAGTGAAAATGCCAAGAGGGGTAGTCCGTTTTTCTTTGGTACTAGCACTACGGGAAAGGACCAAGGTCCGGTGGCGGGTTCAATCCAGCCACTGGCTTCGAATTGCTGAATCCGTTCGAGAGCCTTTTTGCGTTCAATCAAGGAATACCGGTAAGGTTTGCAATGAATCGGGGAGTGATTTCCTGTCTAAATTTCATGTTGGATTACTAACGACAAACCAATGTCAGTTTCTGTTATGCTAATCGCTCCCTGATATTCCGTTAAAATGTTTGCAATCACCCGGTGGATTTCATCCGGTACGTACTGTGGGACGTGTAGCTCGAAACGTTGATCCCCGATCTGAACGTCAAGCTGTTTCGTGCGTGTCTGTTTTGGCACGTCGGGCGGAGGCGCCGAGATGAATGAGTGGTCCGATCGCCAGGAGAACACCGTGGCCATCATCTGGGCATCTTCTTCCCGGATTGCCACGTGTCCTTCCGGGGTAATTCCGTCACAAACATCCTGCCATGGCACGTTCTTAGTTGCAATCTTTATCCCTAGTCTGTCTGTTTCTGCTTCGAAACGCCCAGGGGGTTCCAGAGAGCTTGCTTCCGTCCCCAAGCGTAACAATCTTACTTCTATAGCAGATGTCAATAAGGACTCAAGTAATTCCGTAATGTCGCAATAATGTTTTTTGTCGCTATACCTGGCAAGGAGAGGGGTGATTCCTTCGTACAGAGTTTGAGGGGGTTCCAAAGAATCAACCATCCTCGAAATCTGCACGAGGGGCTCACCCAAGATCATTGCCCTTGTCCTTTGAATTTTTCGGCTGGTCAGTTGCATCGTTCTCGCTATCGTTTTGGGTGGCGGGTAGCAAACGCGTTGTCGTACCAATTTCAAGATCTTCGGATCATCTTCGCCACTACTTTTCGCGTCATCTGTTAAGGACTTTCCTTCCGCGGATTCATCCCAGGAGATCATGCGGAGAGTCCCTGTCATCATCGGCGAAACCCGCGGAACCGCGTTAATAGTAGTGCGAAGGCTCAATCGCATGGGCACAGTGTAGGGTTTTCCGCCTGTATTTCGGAGGACGATCGATCGTCGCTTGAAATCCAGGTTCGCTCGTAACGCCACAAGAGCGGGGAGTCCGAAAAGAACATCGTACGTTTTAACATCTAATACTACGACATCCCCCATCGCGTGTACTTTTCCTAATCGGAAGGCGACGTTGGTCATTCTCCCCACAGTTTTGATCTTTTCCTCATCTGCCGAAACGAGCTGATCTTTCTCAGTGAGCATGATCAGATCGTTTTTCCTACCTGCCCTTTCGGCCACTCTCAGTGAAATTGCCAACACCGCTGCTCCCGAATCTATAATTGCGCTGTAGGGAATTCCCCAAATTTCAATATCTCATTCTGCAGATTTCCATGGAATCCGTTTAATCCGTAAGAAATTATCGTCTTTCTGAATTAAACCCACGCGTATCGGATCTGGAGTGCCTGTTGGGTTCTTTTCTGGCGCGGGGCCTTTGGCTTTTGCATTTGGTGTTCGGGCGAGGGCGAATCGCTTTCGGTTTGCCTTGCAATGTTGTAGCATTCGCTCATTGGCTTGCTTGGAGATCGAGAGTAGATGACCGATCGGAAGGGGGATCCGATGGTCCAGGGCTCGGATGATGTTTAATACATCGATCTCCCCTGTGACGAAGGTGGGTCCTCCCGACTCCATTTCTCCTAGAGACGGTCGCCACTCCGCCACCTCTTTCGGTTCTGGCACTGGTCTGATTGTTGCGATTATTCCAAGCCCAGGATATCCCAGTGATACGTACTGATCTACCGGGATTAGCTCAGCGGCCTCTTCCGTGGTGGCCAGAGCACTTCCCCCACCCTCTACTTCTTCCATCAAGGCACCGACTCGTCCAGGTCCGTTGGCGATGGGAGCCGCAACCATGGGCGCGACCCCGATTCGCTGTTGTGGGGGTCGGTGGGGTCAATCACCGGCTAGATGTCCTGGCTGATGAGAGGCATAACAAACATTTAGATTGTTTGCGACTCCTTCGAGCGCAGGTGTCGGGGCTAATCCTTGCTGTATCGGAGGGGCGCGTACTGCAATGGGTCGCATGTTCCTCATCATGGCTTCCAACCGAGCATTATGCTCTCGCTGCTCCTTTTTGCTTTCCTAGATTAAACTAACCAATGTTTTGGTAAGTTCGAAAATGGCCGCTGATTCGTTCGTTCGTGCGGGAGCCTCAACGGGAGGTGGGGGGAACACTCTTACGGGTGGGGGCATCGCAGGGGCGGACGTGCTCGAAACCTCACTTAGGATCACTCGTTTGGGGCCTATCTGTTCCATATAGGTGATAGGTCCTGACACAAACCCCATATTTTCGAACTTGTTCTGCAAGGCGGCTAATTCAGCTCTCGCTCGTGCAAGTTCGGTCGAATCCCCTTCTCTAGGATAGTCTTCTCCTTCCAGGAAGTTCGCCGCAAACTTCCGTTCCATTTCTTCTGCAGCAGCCATGATTTGTTGTAGCGTGTGAGTGATGGGGGAAAATTGCTTCCGCAACTTAGCCCTTATCGTTCGGATGCGCAGTCCATCAATGAATAGATTTCTTCCTACTTGCTCGCCTCGCTCAGTTTTTACGAACATTCTGTAGAAATGGTTCCGATATTCCGCCACGGACTCGAGAGGTTTTCGCACTCGGTCCTTGATCATGTACAGTGCTTGTTCGGGGTGAACGTAATCAAATCGGTTCATGAAATCCCTTTCGAAGGTCGGGAGATCGACCCACATGTAGGTGCTAAACCAATGATGAGCGTCTCCCCCCAATCGGGCGGGAATGTTGATCTGCGCTTCATTGTCAGTATACTGTTGGGCTCTAAGTGTGGCCAGCCATGCTCCTGCGAGATGGTGTGCCGGGTCGAATAGATAGAGATCAGGTGGCGTCATGGGAGCTCGTGCATGTGGGGCGGGTTGATTCGGTGGATTAGCATTTTGTTGTTGAACCGGGTTTGGCACGTTGGCCGCCATATCCGCTGCTCGTCGGTTAGCCGATCTGCTTCGGGTGACGATGGGGTCGCGTCTATGCGCGTTCCGAGGGCGAGGTCGCCCTCGGTTAGCCAGGTCGCCTAATTATCGTGCTGTCAATACTAAGACCCTAGCCACGTGTCGGGCTCCGATACCAACCTCACGCCCAGCGCGACTTCCTGATAGGAGTAGGATGCGGGCCTGGAAGTGCGAAAAGGGGTGTGCCAAGGATTTTTGGGAAAGTGGGGGGAGTCTTAAGGGTATGAATGCAATTAGGCGGATGAGGGGTGCGTGCGCAAGAGACTCAGGGTCCGACGGTGTGGGGGCACTGTGAGCGACGGTTTATGGGGAAATCCCTCCGCGGTGGAGGTGGTCCCGAAAAGTTAGGCCGTCGAGGGCCGCCACATGGCGCGGGCCGCCACGTGCTTGGGATGGGCCTTCGGAATTCCGGAGTTCTCCATTCGCCGCTACGTCGGCAATCGACACAAAACGTACTGGGCCAATAGGGGGCTATGGCCGGCCACGGAATGACGCTGAGTTGATGATAAGGGAGAAGAAGGCAGTAAGGAGGGAAACTGGTGGTGACGTCAACAAACCCCGGGTGGGTGAAGTAATAGGTGTGGTCGGGGGAAGGGAAATCAGAGCACCAAGGGTCACTGGAGGTAGCGCAGTGGAATTCCCGCGGGCATAGTCGGTTCTCCGTGTGACAGGGGTATCGCAGCCTTATGAGTTCGTTTATCCAAGGGGTGAAATACTCTGGGTCGTAGGATGAATCTGAGCTCCAAGATCGTGTCATGGTATCATTGTAGAAGAGACAGCCCTAGTTGGATTATCATCACCATGCACGAGCTCGTGCGGGACAGACGAACTTAGTTGCGCCTCGTCGTGCTCGTACGAGATGATGGTTCCGTCGCGAATCTTGGGCGAATCGACGCGCGGAAATGCGTGTAAGGGCACGACTCGGATCGCGTTTACACATGTTCTCGCACGGCGTTCGCGGGGCCAGACTTCGGATCGTCTATTTGCTTCGTAAGTTTCGATTATGCAAGATGCAACCATATCACAACCTCATCGTGAGACAAACAAAAGCGAGAACGAAATCGTAATCGGAGCCAAATTCCTATCCCATCTACATCCAGTGCGGACAAAAGTTCGACACAACAAAAGCAAGACAARGATTCGCAGGCAAAGCATCCATACATCCATTCATTCAGCAATCATGCACACAATGTCGTTGATATGGATAGCGCAAGGACAAGTGTGAGCAAAATCCAAGCCCAGATTTCAGAAAGCCGAAACGAAAATAAGAACGGGCTAACCGCCTGGAGCCGCAATCAAAATGTATATACACAGATGCAGAGGGGGAAGAGACAAAGAAACAGCAAGACCGCGTCCATCAACCTCAACTCTTTCTCTCTCTCTCTCTCTCTCTCTCTCTCTCTCTCTCTCTCTCTCTCTCTCTCTCTCTCTCTTGTTCTCCGATGCGGACAGTCCGTCATCACGCACCAACCCACGAAGTCGTCACCCCGCTTAGTCCTCCCGCACCCGTCGGATTCGCGTGTGCCCACAGTCCGTCGTGGCCCACGTCAATCCCGCGCGTTCGGCACCAGCCCGTCGGGTCACCCAAGTCCTACTCTACTCACCTCTTACTTCGCTCGTGTGCCGACCCTTCCTGATCGCGCAACCCCGAGCTTCAAACAACGGGTTAAGAGAGCTGACTAATCGCGCAGCCGAGATTTATAGCGTGCATGCATGCGCGAAGAACACGGAATTACCAGGACTTCAAATGGGGATTAGAGAGGGAGTGCCTACGTTCTGCATGATCGGCCGCGACGTGGGGGACGTAGCCCTTCTCCACGCATCGATCCGAGCATGCAAATTGTGGCTTACAAAATCTTCAGCAACAGAAAGAGGAGGAGGGCGGGAAAGATCGAAGAAGGAAAATACAGTTACAATGGCGCTCGTTCCAAGATTACAGTTACACACACGATTAAGGGCGCCTACTAATCAGAATACCGTTGCAGCCGCAAAAAGAAGCGCGCAAGCAAATAAGGATGCCGCGCGGCAAAGAAAGTCCTAATTGCAAAATTCCTAAATTCCGAACTAATGCGAAAGGCAAAAGTACAGATTCCGAGGGGGGGGGGAAGAAGTCCGAAATTTCGAGAGCCATCAGGGCTCGACAAAATTTGAAAAAGACTTGAAAGAAAAATTCAAAAAGGAGAAAGGCAAATTCCCGCGCGATGTCCGCGCCCAAAAGATCGAAACCGAACCGAAGAAAACGACGTCAACATTTATTATTCGCGCGCGTGGAGGCGCGCCCGACA